AAATATTTAAAATAATTATATAGTTTTGTTTTGAGGGTTTATACATAATTTAATGCTAGCAATGATTTCTTGGATATCCCTTCCATTATGTTGTATAAAATGTATTAGGTTTTATTTTACGGTATTAAATTTTATAAAAAGATGTCAAGAAAAATCTATACTTATTTTTTTTTTTAGTATGTTATAACAATTTGTATTACGAAATATATTTTTTATTGATTGAAATGGAGCATAAAAGGAATAAATTATATGTATAATAAGTTCTTTTGAATTTTGATTTTACAATCGGAATTTCATATCTTTCAGAATATTTTAATATGGTACCAATTATTCCCGATCAAAGAGAATATAAAAAGAAAGTTTAAATTCTCAAATAAATAAGAAGAAAGGAAAGAAAACAACAAACAAGAGAATGAGTATCAGGGATCACTATCCGGTTCATGGGCCAAGTGGGATTGCGGTCTCCACCACTTGCTAATATACGGTCCATGTTTAAACCGGTCGAACCGGGTACCACACCTAGAAACACTGTCGTTTCATTCAGCCTCAGGTCCTCGGGTATACTCACAGTAGACTTCGAAGTTAATCGAGTTCACAAGAATCTCAACCCTTCCACTTGTATATTTATTTATTTCTTATTGAATATAATAAATTATATTAAAAGAATTTATGCAAATGATGCACATATAATTACTCGCTTTTGGACAACGCTGGGCTAAATATCTAGATAAGATAGATATATAAAAACGAATTTTCATCATGGGCATCGAATTTGTATACAATGTCATATACATTAGAACAACAAAAAGATAACCTTTATCATACACTAAATTAACTAATTTTTTTTTAAAAATCAGCATGTTCAGACAGTTACTTCATCGTGATAATATGCTAATTAATATTCCTGATTTAGAGAAAATGGCTTTATATAGAATTCTATTCGAAATTCAATTAAAATAGAGAAGAGTACTACATACAGAACCGTGACAAGTTTAATTGATGCCGTAGGCGATCATTTTTTTTTAATAATAATAAAAAAAATTTATATAAAATAAAAATGTATAGTGATAAAAATGAACTAAAAATATCTAGTATAATAAATATTATTGTATTACAAAAGAAAATAGAAGCCTATACATGATACTAGTTTAAAACGTGATTCTTTTTTTTCATAAAATCATTAACCAACTTTTCAAAAATCATTTAATTTTTTTATGACATACTCAAGTAAAAATATGATTTTTATCAATTTTTACTTTAAAAAACTTTTTTCAGCAGATACAAAGAATTAAACTGGATACAAAAAATTAAACTTCTTTCAACAGATGCAAATAATTTAACTTACTTTAATGATAAATTAGTGATATTTGATAAATTCACTTGAATAAATTAATGGAGTAGAAAGACGACAACAGAAAAAAAAAGTCACAAACACTAATCTTTTTAATTGGTTTTTAAAATTTTTTTCTATTTTTATTAATTATTTTAATACAATTTTTTTTTTGGTTTGAAAATAAATATAATTTATATTTAGGCTTCATCTACATACTTATCAACTATATTAAAACACACATAATGAACAGAACTAAAACTCAATCAATTTTTTTTTTTTAAAGTGTGACCGTAGGCGAGTGCCTCTTTGGTAAAGGGATAAGCACGGCCCTGACTACCTAGAAGATGACATTACAGTTATACAATAGGATTACCGTCGTCCAAAAGCTCTATTGATAAGTTAAATTAGCTACATAAAAATAATATATTACAGAAAATATCACTCCCGCAACAGTTATATGAAAACAGTAAACCGTTTCAAACGCGATCGATGTTATTTGTTTCGTTGGACGGAGAAATCTGTTATCTTTTGCTTAACAGTAAAAATTTCTATAGTCAAATAGTGTAAATAGTTTTAAAAAATGAGTTATTGGATAATTTTGTTATAAATTTATAAGAATCACATGTACATATGAATCTAAGTGCTCTTTTTACTAATCATATTGATCATATTCGCAAGGAAGTGCGTGTACGAGTGACTGTGTGAAAAGGGATAGCTAAGAAAAAGATATGCACACATAGACACACCTTCACGACAAAAGATGCCGTGACGAATTTTGGCCCAAGGATTGTGAGAATAATCAACACTTATATGGTATAGTGCCTTACATGCATATATTTTACAAATCATAAACACACACCCTATCAAATAACATTTTTATTCATAAACCTATCACACACTCACACAAACACACACACACACATGTACTGATGTACACAAATTTATGCATATATGTGATGAATAAAAATGCATGCCTACAAATATAGTGTGGATGGTATTGAGCACATATGATATGACCACGCATACATGATCACAATAATGTCAAAGGTATGGGACAATGGTGATACTTGGGAATGGCATGTTTTGATTCGAACCCACCCCAATGACAACTATAATAATCACAATATAATAAAAAAGGTTTTGTAATAATGTCCTTTGAGGAATTCTAATTCTAATATTCTCAATTATTGGCCACATAAAAGAATAAAGAATAGAGAAAAATGCCCAGTTTCCAAATTCGCGAATTCAATAACAACTACGATATTCGAATTAATATGGTGATAAGAATAAATTTCGTTTCACCATCTTTTCAGTATTTATAACAATTACTATTTTGGATCATTGTCGTGATTTGATTTGTTACTGTAACTTCTTTGTCTTGTCGTGGTTATTCCTCGTTATGCTGCTCTTTTTTTTTTCGGAGTTAATAGACATTCTCACTCACCGACCAATCCTTAATTTTTTCTAATTTTTTTTTTTAGTTTTTTGATATGATAACAGTGAAGTTCGAATATATGCTTATATACATCAATTTAGGTATGACATATCAACTTGCAGATTTTCGATGCTTGTTGGTCCAGCTCTAAGTGAAAGGAAGCATAATATATATACTCATGTTGTGTCGTTTTGTTGGTTAAGACAAATAGCGATTTTGATTTGATACAAAATAAATGTTATCACTCAAAATATATATATGAAAATGGTTCAATATATATATATATATATATATATAATTCAGGATTTAATTACTGTTTGTTTACGAAAATATTCAAAATTTTTATAGAATAAACAAAAAGACGATCACTGAATAATGTGGGGGAAAAAAATGAATTGCATGCATGGCACGGTTACTATTGGTAATATTCAACTATTCAAGTAGTAAAAACAAACTGCAAAACTGATCACATACTCTGTCTCTCTGTGCATAGTAGTCGTCGGATCTAATAAGCTTTAAAATCGAATAAGACCAAACAGAACCTTATAATATTATTTCTCATACAAATTGATTATTAAACTGTTGAAAGTTAAGTATTATTCCGTTAATATCTACTAAACATTACGGCGTTATGCAGATATATGCTAGGATTAAAGCGTTGTTAAAAACGTGGACATATAAACATAAAACAAATTCGACTCCGATATACAAAATATCTCAAATTTGAAAAATAGAGAGCCCAGAGTTTTGTGGTTGGTTTTAGCAGCCGCATGCTTGCGTGAACAAGACACCACTAAAACGAAGTGGAATCGGCTCGTACTATACATCTCACAAAAATGTAAATTTGTCTCCTAAAAAAAAAAATCTCCGCACATGCATATTGATTACTTATGTTAGGTTTTGTCGCTATCAAAAACTCTCTCTATTTGTTATACGTGTTGCCCTATACTTTACGGTTTCTTTATCGCCATGCATCGCATATTCACATGTTTCATGTAAATCAGTAAGGAAGAAGATATCTATATAACCAATTCGTTCATTTATTATGTTTTGGATAACGGGAGGATCTAAAAAAGCCACACTATTTCCAAAGCATGTAGACGTTTTAGTGGATCGTAACAATTTTGTGATTGTAGTACCTTTTGGTATGGTATATACACGTGTTTTAGTGGATCGTAACAATTTTTGTATGGACAATCGATGACTACCATCTGAAAGTTTTAAAACGGTTGATGAAATATTAGGAGTGTCAGAATAACGAGTACGATTAAAATTGTTGGCTCCAATGTAATTTTTACAGCATCCACAATTTCACCCAAGAAAAGAAAAATGTCGCAGTCAAAAAGGACCGAACCGCCCTAAGATTCCACCAAACACAACACTGCAGAGACCACTTAAGTTAACGTTAACTTACTAGCATGTCGTGTGGCTGTTCTCGTTCCAGGTTGCATCCTCTAAAATCATTACACTCAAGATCTGTTTTTCTTTCGCAGCTTTCTTATCTTTCCCAAATTGCCCCTACCAGAAACTATCTCTATCAGTTTTTGACCCTTCTCTTGTTTCAATTTGGGAGTCCAATCAAGCAATTGAATACACTTATACAGACTTTTCTACATTTCCCAATCTTTGTCGAATTGCATCGACATAGTTTAACACTACATATATGTGGGAGTGGGAACATCAAATATAAGAATAGTTCAAATTTGTTGTAATTTTAGAAAGAGAAAGGAAATATGTCAAAAAAAGTTTTTATCAAAAAGTGTAAGATACATGATTTGGTATATATAATAAATGTAATTGTTTCTTTTGTTAAATTTGTTTTTTTTTTTTTAAGTCTCTTTTCGACTCGATTTGATTTTAGTTTTCGCTTATAAAAAAACTTGGTACTATCTTTTTGATAATTTATTGATTTATTCTATATTCAGTAGTGTAAAATTTGTTTCGAATTTCCCTACTGAACCGTACCAGAGCCGGTCCATTAAGTTACTACCAATCAGATCAGATATTAAATGGGCTTAGCTAACAAAACTTAATACTTGAATAAAAACTACAAACATGGAAGTGTTTTATTAGACAAACAACGACGCCGTATCAAACGAATCATTATCAGCCGTCAATTGAATAACCCCCTCAAACAATGTCCACCGTTAGATGGCGTCCCCAATCGTTCTCCAGTCACCACCATCACTATCATTGACTTTGAAAATCTGTTTGATCGATGAGAGTGAGACAATGTCCTCTCTCCAGCAAACCCTAATTCCTCTCCGCCCGAAGCTCCACCACTCGTTTTACGCGACCGCACGGAGTCCCCTCCCTAATCTCAGTGTCCGATTCACTCGCCGAGGCGGCGGCGGCGGGTTGAGAATGTCATCGCCGGTCTCTGAAAGCTACGCGACGGCGTTGGCTGACGTGGCGAAGGCGAACGACACTCTGGAATCGACCTGCTACGACGTGGAGAAGCTGGGGAAGATGTTCGCGTCGGACCCGGAGGTTCTGTGCTTGTTCGTGAACCCGACGGTGGAGCTTCAGAAGAAGCGGGAGGTGGTCGACCTGATCTCCGAGTCCTTGTCGCTGCTTCCCCACACGGCCAGCTTCTTGAACGTACTGATCGATTCGAGTCGGATGGAACTAGTTAAAGACATCATCAAGGAGTTCGAAGCGGTTTACAACAAGATGACGGAGACGGAGCTCGCGGTTGTGAAGTCGGTGGTGAAGCTTGATTCTCAGCATCTAGCTCAGATCGCGAAGCATTTGCAGAAACTCACCGGGGCTAAGATCGTCAGGATCAGAACGGTGATTGATCCGAGCCTCGTCGCTGGATTCACAATCCGGTACGGTTGTTCGGGTTCCAAGCTTATCGATATGAGCGTCAAGAAGCAGCTCGAGGATATCACCTCTCAGCTACAATTCTCGGGTTCAAGCTTTTGATCTTTTATACTTGGTTCCAAAGTAGTTTTGTTTATCAGAACCAAAACAACAACAACAACAAAGAAATCAAATTGCGATGAGAATTTAGCGGAAACCATATGAAAAAAATTAAAAGCTTCGTTATGCATAATGATGGAAAAATTTTCAAAACAAAAACAGTTACTAAACAGCTTCTGAATCAAAAGCTAAAGAAAATAATTACACAAGTTTTTTTTTGCCTTCGTACCGGCTTACACCAAACCAGTTTTAAATATTGAGACTTTCTATATTTGGGTTCTTCTCACCACAACAAAGACCTCCCTGAAACTCCCATTGTTCCTCCTACGATCACCCAAAATAAAGCACACAGAGCACCAATGATCGACAAGCAGAAGAAACCCTTGTGGTGGTTGTTCTTGTTGTTTCCTCCAGACTTGTTCCTCTTTGCTGCTGAATCGTTAACCGCCACAACGACATTGTTGCCTGTGCTTGTAGAACCAAACCTGGAGCGACCACCAAGCCTTGACATTCTGACAAGGTTCAGGTTAACAAATGGATTCTCTGACGCATATGCTGGGTTTGCAGGAATCGACTCCAGGAATGACCATAGACTAGAAGCAAACTGACTCGACTCGCCTCTTGTCGAGTCTTCTTCCTCCGTGGTTATACCAGAAGTAAGAGGGTTTATGAATTCAGATGCACCATCACCTGCCAAAAAAGGGTTACGATTAGGTAAATTTGGTGTTTAGCAACTTAACATCAGAATGAAGAATCTAAACAAAAAGACTTGTTCATCATCTTTGGCTAATGTTTACCTGTACCAGGAGCCTCACCAAACCGGGTAGCGGTAAGTCCATCATTGGTTATCTTTCTGGTATAGCTGTTACGGAGTGGCCAGTTGCTACCTTCTTGGTTCTGGAACTGGTTACCATCGGCCTGGTCAGTCACCGACCAAGTAGTATTCACCTCAAGTCTTTGTTCAAACCCATTCTCCAAACCACCAACACCGACAGGCTCTGGATGAGGATTTGCGTCATCCAAATCACGGAATAACGAGTCGACATCAAAGAAATCATCATCATTCAGCACACCACCAGGCTCATCTTGGTCCCAGTTCTTCTGCGCAGCTTCCGCATAACTCGGTTCAGGTGCAGATCTGAGCAAAAGATCGTCGATTTCCAAGTAAGCATCTTTCGCCGGATCATACGCTGGAGCCGATGACAACCTGACATGTCCAGGGTCCTCTATAACCTGTCTCATCATCTCTTCGATATCGTTGTCATCAAGTTCAGATTGGTTAAGCCCACTCGTGAATATATCACTGCCGACACCAGCTGAAACAACGAGCTGATTCGCAGGAACGTCGACTACAACGGCAGCCTCATCGACATCTTCAGCATCATCATCATCATCATCTGCCCACTCTTCTTCTATAAAAGGAGCTCCGTACTGCTCACCGTTCTTAGGACCAGACCCGCTCTTCTTGTAAACCTTGTAAAGCACATAACAGTCCTTGACACCTCCGCACCTCTCGAGCTCCTCTTGGTGCAGCGTGTACTCGTGCATGACCCAGTTCGTCCTCTCGCCATTAGGCGCCCTGCCTCTGTGGAAAACAAGCGTCTTCTTCTCCCCAACGGAGCGAGAGTTGCACTTGATGACTCTGTCTTTCCCAGTTGCTTTCCAGTATCCACCTTCCGTCGCTCTGCTTGACCTTCCTCCATGTTTCCTATCCCTCGGGCTGAAGAAGAACCATTGACGATCCCTTGTCTTATATAACGCTTTCCCTGCAAAAAAAAAAAAAAAAAATTCCAGATTTGCTAAAAATCGGATAAATTCATCTAGAACAGAGCAAAATGGTCCCAATTTTACAGGCAATTGAAAGCAAATCAAATGAAAATGGGGGAAAGTAGCAAAAGATTTTAAGGTACCAGGCAACTCCTCGGGATCAAACTTGTAGACATCTGTCTCGCCGATTGCATCGACTCTTAGTTTCTTCCGGCGAATCTTTCTCTTCAGATAATACACCACCAGTTCCTCGTCGGTCGGATGAAACCTGAAACCTGGCGCTAATGCTCCGTTTTTTTCACTCGGACATGAACCCTTCAAAGCCTCCATCACTTTGTCTTGTATTGGTATCAAATCCCACACAGAGAAGAAAACAAAAACCTAATTTTTTTTAGTGCAAATCAGAATCTGAGAACAGAAAAGGGCGATTTTTCTCCAATTGGGTTGCATACTTTATCGTATTTAACCCTATTTTCTGTAATTATTTTTATCTTATTATATAAATTTATTACGTTTTCTGTGGGGTTTTTGCGTGGAGAGGAAGGTTTGGCTTCGTGAGCCGACAGATGGGAACTGCGAGGTGAATCTTCGTATTGACTACTGCGTGGGATTCACGCGCAAAGCCCATTTATAATGGGCTTAATAAAAGGATAAAAGCCCGTAACGTAAAATGTAAATTTGATTTTCTCAAAGGAACTAGAACACAACGGAAGCATCTAGAGACAGACTCTTTGGTCTTGGTCTGTATCTATAATATAAGCAACTTGTCATTGTTTCCTCTACTAAATCCTCTGTTTCTGCTTAGTTTCTGGAAAATTTTCCGTAAAATGAGGTACAAATTCGTTATGTTTTGTTGAGTGGAATCTATGTTTTAGTCGAGTGGAATCTATGTTTTAGTCGAGTGGATTCTCTTGTCATTGATTTTCTTATTGAGCTTATCGAGTTTTGGTTCTAATAGTAATATGCGTTCAAAATTTTCAGCCGACATCCTACGGTGAAGTGGGCGCAAAGGTCCGATAAGGTTTACATAACTGTGGAATTGCCAGATGCTGAAGATGTGAAGCTTAAGCTGGAGCCTGAAGGCAAATTCTTTTTCTCCGCCACGAGTGGAGCCAGCAAGACACCGTACGAGGTGGACCTTGATCTGCTGGATAATGTCGATGTGAATGTAGGTGCAGGAGATGGATCTTGCGTTTTTTTTTAAAACTCTGGTTTATGATTTGTGGAAATGGTGGTGATTTTGGGAGAGATCTCTGATGGTTGCAGGAGAGCAAAGCGAGTGTGAGCTCGAGGTATGTATGTTACCTGGTGAAGAAAGCTGAGAGCAAGTGGTGGAACAGATTGATTAAACAGGAAGGTAAACCTCCTGTGTACGTGAAAGTTGATTGGGATAAATGGGTTGATGAAGACGAAGAAGACAAAGGTAAAAAGAATGATTTTTAACTTAAAACGTGTAAGAGCTAGCAGTTATATATATTCTGACTTATATATTTCATCTGTTATCTTTAGGAGGAGAAGCGGATATGGACTTTGGAGATTTCGATTTCAATGTAAGGCCAACGATTTTTCTTGAGAGGAAAACCATTTCTTTCTTCTTGGATTGTGAACTAATGTTTTGTTGCTGCTTTCTGTTTTTAGAGTCTTAATATGGGAGAGGCTGGCGACATTGGAGACGAAGGTTAGGTTTAGGATTCTTGACTTCGGTGTTGTTGTTTCAAGAAAGTAGAAAAGTTTTTGTCTGATTGAGTATATATGATAGGTTAGATTTTTGGTAGTAGTGATGAAGTGTGTTTCTTTGCAGAAGAGGAGAGTGATATGGAGGAGGAGATTGCGGCAGAGACAACAAAAGAAGCAGAGAAGATTGTGGAAGAAGGAAACGGAGAGAAAGAGGAAGCAGCATCAGATGTGAAGAAGGATTGAGTTTTACGTTGTACTAAATCTCTTTCAGCTATTGAAATGGTTTTGTTAAAATGGTCTTGTTGTTAAATCTCTGTTTGTCAAAAATGATGAAAAGTTGAGAGATTCGGCTCTTTGCAACTCTTGGGGGAATATACCAAAGAGAAGCATCAATCTAATTGAAATAATACAAAAGTTAATGTTTATCAAGAACTTCAAATCAACATTACTCAAACAAAAATATACTACAGTATTATCAATTTTATTATAATACTAAGATATTGGCTCGTACGCATGTGCAGACATGAACAATTATTAAAATGTAATTGTTTAAATACAATATCTAAATCTGTTTTACATATTTTAAATTTTTATAGTATATGAAACTTAATGTCAATGCTTTGAATTATAAGACGTTAAATAAAGTAGTAAAATATGTTCTAATTTTAACTAAACATTTTGTTATAATAAAAGGTTCATTTATATTTTAGGACATATTTGAAAAATAATAATTAAATTTGGAAAACACAAAACTTATTTTTCCATGATCAGACTTTATAAAACTTGACCCGTTATGTTAGAGGGTCAAATGGATCAAACCCGTGGATAGGTGGTTACCTTATTCAGATTTGCGGATCAAACTGCAAATTTTATCTTCTCTGTCTTTTTTTTAACAAACGTTTTTCATTTTCTTTGTCTTCTTATAATCTTCCTCAATTTAAAGCATTATTTCTTCAAGGATTCCATCATTGTTGGTCTCAATCTACTTATATGTGCGATTTTTCTACTTATAATTTTATCAAGTAGACTCTATAAATAATTGCAAGATAATCTCCACTTAAGCATCAGGTGCTTCAATTAGCCCTATTGTAAGACATGTTTCAGCGAAGGTGGAATATAAAACTCTGTTTACTGTTCTATGATTTTTCGAAACATACTGGTCTTCTCTGAACATTTAGCAACATTTTAAGGTAGAAAAGTTCACCATATTCTTCTGAAACTTCTGGAAGGCTAATATCGTAGGGAACATTGTTTTTTCTGTTGCGAGGGAGCCACTACTTAATTTTTTGATGCCAAACCCGTTTGTTTGGAAATTCAGTGTAGCGATAAAACTTTGATTCATTACACTCACGATTGGAGTCAATACAACCTTCAAGTTTCATTTTAGCCATATTCGATTTAGATAAATAGATTGGTAGAATTGACATGTCTGCGCTTTGAGTTAGGGTTTGATTAGTTTGATACTCATTGTGTTGTGATGTTTTCTTATATAAGGATTCGAGTATTTAACTTTTTCATTAGTTATTTGGGATGAACATGATTTTATATGGATCTTTTTGGTTTTTATTAAATGGACATTAAACTTTTCAAATAATATAGAGGATAATGATTTTGGTTTTTCATTAGATGCACGTTGATTTTTTAGGATATTCAACTTTTATTACAAAAAATAATGTAGAGGATTATTAAACCGAAATCTTATATTTATATTTGTTACTATTTTTTAACTAAAGTAATATTTTAAAATTTTGAATGTTCTACAGAAGATCACAATAATATCTTATTTTATTATTATAATTTTGTCAACTAAAGTATGTGAAAACATATGTGCACGTAAATGGAGCACCGCCTTTACAAAAAGTATGAATTATTAAGTAAACTATTTGATCAATATGATTTTGTTATTATAATTTTGCCTACTGAAATATATGAAAATATATGTGCATGTATTCTATATGAATATAATATTATAATATATATATATATATGTGTGTATTTATATGGAAAGTTACGGTAGTCCACAACAAAGCTATAGTAAATTTAATATATATAATATAGTATTATCCATAGTATTATAATATATATATATGTATTAAAATCATCACGTTCAGCCCAAAATTCATATGCTATTATCCATATATGTGAATAATAATATCAGATCATTCATAATGCATCTGGCGAATCATTCATTTAGTTATTAATACACTAAATTTTGTCATCTTATTAAATTAATTATTAATGAAAATATCACAAAAAAATCTTTTTGCCATGTCATAAACCACATGTGTTAGTAAATGTCATGTCACAATTACATCATCATTACACATCATCATTTCCATGTCATATTTAATTAGGATAGAGAAGTGATTTTAACCAATCAAATTAAAACAAATCATCATTTTTCATTAAACTACATTCTCAATTAATAGGTAGAAGATTAAATGAAATTAATTAATGAAGTGGCTGTTGATGTGGCAGTACCAAAAGAGAGAAAAACTTATTTCATATGTTTGCTATTTTTTATATTAAATTTTAATATTATTTTTTTATTATTTTCTGTCTTTCTAGTTACTAATTCCCGTCATACATTCCTAAAATTTTGTTTTCAATCAAAAAATATTTAGAGCTAATATATATCATTATTTTTTTGTTTTGTTATTTTGTATTTGGGTGGTTTTTATTTTCTGACAATATATTATAATTATGTTTTTATGTTTGTTATTTTTTATATTGAATGTTATTATTAATTTGTATTGTTTTCCGTCTTTTTAATTACCAATTTCATCATATATTTGCAGAAATCAGCCTTGAATATTAAAATACTTAAAGCTAATGTATGTAATTATTTTTTAGTTTTATTTTATTTTATTTTCTGACAATATATTATAATTGTCTATTTATTTTTGTAATTTTATATTAAATATTAATATTTTGTGTATTATAATTATCTTTGAGTATTTATTATTTTTTTATATTAAATGTTAATGTTATTTATGTTTTAAAATAATTTAAATAAAAAATAATTAAAGAAAGAATTACTGAGGTGACAGCCTAAGAAGAAAGAAAAGATTACTTTATAGATATAGATACAACAAAAATATACTACAGATATTATCAATTTTATTATAATATACGTCTCACATTAACATAACCGACCTTCTGCTCTGTAAATATTGAAAATAAGGATAGCGATTGTGTTTTTTTACTTGGGGAATCCGTAACATTTTTTTTTATTTATTGCTTTTGTTAAACTAAAAATATCAAAAATAAAGGAAAGAAAATCAAAAAGTAAAATAGAAAGAGTGAATGAGCGTGAATGACTCGTGTGAGACGTGGTTGGGGAAAAGAGTTAACAAATGTCGAGATCCTAGTGGTGGAGATGGAAGCAAATTACGGACAAAGAAACCAAACAGAGTTTTGTTCTGTTACTTTAGAATTTAGATTCCCAAAAAGAAAAGAAAAAAAAACCCAATAAAAAAACCCAAAAAATAAGAAATAAATAAAAAAGTTTCAGTTACAGAGCCACAATCGTGTTCGACTCGGAGGAAGGAGAGAAAACATATTAATCTCTAAAAAAGTAAGCGACGCTCGCTTCATCGCCGGCGTGCTGTCTCACTCCGGCCGAGTCTTTCACGTTTATCTCGAGTACGCTCTCTCAATCTCTAAATCGACGTCTCTCTTGCGTTTTATTTGTTTGTGGTTTCAGTTTTCGGATTTATGTCTTACTTTCTCTTGATCCATTCCGATTCCTTTTTACTACGCGATTCGAATGTGTCGATGGTAATCTTGTGACTCTCTTGCTCGTGGATCGATGAATTTATATTTCGACCTAAATTCATTATTGCTCTAGTTTTTGATTCATCGGTTATTAAATCCGGTTTGCGATTTTTTTTGTTGTTGTTAGATTCGTCGATGTGGTCATATTAATTGGTGATTGATTTGAATTTGGATTGGAGAATTCTTTAACATGATCAATTGCAAAATTACTTAGTTTTTTTTTTGTTCTTCAGCTGAGTTTGTTGTTATGTTCGTTAGTATATTGCAGAAAACTATGGTGACTGATTAAACTTGGGACAATCGAAAGTTGAGGAATTTGGACGGATTCGAAAAGAAAGTCGATGGAGTTCAACAAGCAGCAAGAACTTGTAACCGAGTCGTCTATGGAAAAAACGGATCCTCTCTGCGTTTCTCAATTGAAAATATCATCTTCTTCTCCTCCTCCTCCTTCTCTCGAGTCTCCAGGTTCGCCATTGCCACAGGCGAAGATGTCAGGGGATTTGCTAAAGAGCCATAGGCATTCCGTTTGTGCAAGTGACGACCTTTCCTCAAAAGGTACAGCCTTTTTTGCCAATTCTATTGGTATACTTTATGTTTCTTCTGAGATGGTTTTAGATAAATTTCTTATTGATGCAGTGGAAGGGAGTGAAGAAACTTGGGATGACCCCACTGACCCAAATTATGACACCATTGAGGTAATTCTCATTAACTTGACTCCTTATGGATCTATCTGATGTTCAACATCATCGACACAGATCTAAAGTGATGACCTTTTCCTTTTGGTTTGTTTCTTGAAGCAGGGGAATGGACATTCAGATTCAGCGAGCGTCGATGCAGATTTAATCGAGTACAAAAAACGGGCCACGATCATTGTGGAGGAGTACTTTAGCACCAACGATGTTGTATCCGTTGCTAACGAGCTAAAGGAGCTTGGAATGGCTGAGTACCGTTACTATTTCGTCAAGAAGCTAGTCTCCATGGCCATGGACAGACACGACAAGGAGAAAGAAATGGCCGCTTTTCTGCTGTCCACGCTTTACGCCGATGTCATTGACCCTCCCGAAGTTTACAGAGGCTTCAACAAGCTGGTGGCCTCTGCCGATGATCTGTCCGTGGACATTCCGGACGCGGTCGACGTTCTCGCCGTGTTTGTGGCTCGAGCCATCGTCGACGACATTCTCCCTCCGGCGTTTCTGAAGAAACAGATGAACTTGCTTCCAGGGGACTCGAAAGGCGTGGAGGTGTTGAGAAAGGCTGAGAAGAGCTATCTAGCGACTCCGCTTCACGCGGAGGTCGTTGAGAAGAGGTGGGGAGGGACTGATAACTGGACAGCCGAGGATGTGAAGGCGAGGATCAACGAGTTGCTGAAAGAGTATGTCATGAGCGGAGACAAGAAGGAGGCCTTTAGGTGCATCAAGGGGCTGAAAGTTCCCTACTTTCACCACGAGATTGTCAAGCGGGCGCTGATCATGGCGATGGAGAGGCAGAAGGCGCAAGTGAGGCTGCTGGATTTGTTGAAAGAAGCGATTGAGGTTGGTCTCATAAACTCCACTCAGGTGTCAAAAGGGTTTAGCAGGATCATCGACTCGATTGAGGATCTGTCTCTCGACATTCCGGACGCACGCCGTACGTTGCAGTCTTTCATCTCGAAAGCGGCTTCTGAAGGATGGCTTTGCGCCTCTTCTCTGAAGTCGCTCTCCGCCGCTGATCCAGGGGAGAAGTTGCTCGAGAACTCCAGCGCCGGTGTGTTTAAAGACAAGGCTAAGTCGATCGTCCGAGAGTATTTCCTCTCAGGGGACACTTCGGAGGTCGTGCATTGTCTAGAGACCGAGCCGAGTGCGTCGTCGAGCCAGCTTCGTGCAATCTTTGTCAAGTATCTGATAACTCTAGCGATGGATAGGAAGAAGAGGGAGAGGGAGATGGCTTGTGTTCTTGTCTCGTCTCTTGGGTTCCCTCCCAAGGATGTCAGAAACGCCTTCTCGATGCTCATTGAGTCTGCAGACGACACTGCTCTAGACAACCCGGTGGTGGTTGAAGACCTTGCCATGTTCTTGGCGAGAGCTGTGGTCGACGAGGTGTTGGCTCCACGGGACTTGGAAGAGCTGTTAAGCCAGACTCCCGAGCCAGGCTCCTCGACCGTTGGGGAGAAAGTGATTCAGATGGCGAAAACATTGCTCAAGGCACGTCTCTCGGGCGAGAGGATCTTACGTTGCTGGGGAGGAGGAGGGGTTGAAACAAACTCGCCTGGATCCACGGTGAGCGAAGTGAAAGAGAAGATCCAGGTTCTCTTGGAAGAGTACGTCTCTGGTGGAGACCTGAGAGAAGCTTGCAGGTGCGTGAAGGAGCTGGGGATGCCGTTTTTCCACCACGAGGTTGTGAAGAAGTCAGTGGTGAGGATCATTGAGGAGAAGGAGAAGGAAGAGAGGCTATGGAAGCTGCTAAAAGTGTGTTTTGATTCGGGGCTGGTGACGATTTATCAGATGACAAAAGGGTTTAAAAGAGTCAGTGAGTCGCTTGAGGACCTGTCTTTGGATGTCCCTGACGCTGCGGAAAAGTTTGGTAGCTGCGTCGAAAGAGCCAAGCTTGAAGGGTTCTTGGACGAATCGTTTGCCTTGGAGGAGACACAAGGTCAGAAAGAGAACGGCTCGCCTTCGTCTTGATGCATTTTGAACGCACCAACCTGAACCCTAGAGTCGTTGGTTTGATCTCGGCAAACTCACCTTTTGAAACCTGTTTTTGTTTTTCTTTTATATAAAACATATACTAAAAGTTTTGGTACTTTGATGATGATCTTACAGAGAGCAAGCATTAGTGACGTTTTGCTATAACATACTACATTTTTCTTTTTTTTTTCATTTCTTTAATTTTTGAAATATGACCTGTTTTTTTTTTTTGTTTTCTTTATGAAAAATCATCATCTTCTTCATCAACACAGATTTAGCTCTCTACTTTTTGTTTTTCTTATTCTGAATGTTTAATTTTCTTACAGACATTCTCCTTTGTTTTCATGTGATTTCCATTCCGAATTTTTACCTGAAAAAAAAAAAGATTTCTCTAGTCATATTGTAATCTTTTACTACAATGTAGTAAGAAAGAAAGAGACAAAATGACGTCGGCCAAGAATGTTACTATAATCTAAACTCTGAAACAGACTAATTATTATTTATATAAACCAAACAAAAGAATCATCATCATCATCTTCTCCTTTCTTAAAAGCTGGACAAACCCCACGAGTCTCTCTCCCAGCGATTTCCTTGTCTTCAAATAATAGTAAGAAACTATTTCCTATTTTTAAAAATCGGTTCCTGTTCCCCGAAAATTTCTTTCTTTCTCGAATCCGAATTACAGAGCTAGTATACTGAAAACATGTCGACGCGAAGACGAACTTTGCTCAAGGTTATTGTCCTTGGAGACAGCGGGTTAGCTAATTTTCACTTTTAATACTCACTTTCTTAATTTTGTTGTTGTTGCCTGATTTGATCATTCTTTGTTCCTCAAATTTCTCAGGGTGGGCAAAACATCGTTGATGAATCAGTATCCTGACTAGAGAGATTTAATAAGTTTAATTCTCTAGTATTTATTTGGTTTCTTATTCTTTTTTTCGCTTTTGGGGAATTAAATGGTATGGATGAGTCCTTAGCAGGCTTGTGTGGTAGATATGTGAACAACAAGTTTAGTCAACAGTACAAAGCCACGATCGGAGCCGATTTTGTCACCAAGGAGCTTCAAATCGACGACAGGCTCGTCACATTACAAGTGTGTTTCTTGACCCTTTTTTGTGTGTGTGTGTTTTGGTAATTTTGAATTCTACTACTGAATGTGTGTGTGTGTTCTTATTAAGATCTGGGACACTGCTGGGCAAGAGAGGTTTCAGAGTCTTGGAGTTGCATTCTATAGAGGTGCAGATTGCTGTGTGCTTGTTTACGATGTCAATTACCTAAAGTCGTTTGATTCTCTCGACAATTGGCACGAGGAGTTTCTTAAGCAGGTTCTTGATTTTTGCTTTTTTAACCAAATGTTTCTTTTTTCTTCTGTGGCTCTGAATTGGTTTTTTTTCAATAATAATATGTTTCCCCTTCAGGCTAGCCCACGGGATCCAAAGGCTTTCCCTTTCATATTGCTTGGTAACAAGGTTGATATTGATGGAGGAAATAGCCGAGTGGTAAGTATATATATAAGCCTTTTGGCTTTTTCAACAAAAAAACCGACAAGATGAGCAAGTGGTTGAGTCCTTTGTCTGTTCAAAGCAATGTGATCTTTGTGTGTAATAATAACCTTCAGGTATCTGAGAAGAAAGCTAGAGAGTGGTGTGGTCAAAAGGGAAACATACTCTATTTCGAGACGTCGGCTAAAGAAGATTACAATGTAGATGACTCCTTCTTGTGCATCACAAAACTTGCCCTGGCCAATGATCGCGACCAAGATATGTAAAGCTTTAACATCTTCTTTTTCTTTACTTTGAACCTCTTTACGTATTAGTTTTCGGTCCAAATTGCTAAAATATCTCTCAAGTTGAAAACTTTGTTTTGTCAGATATTTCCAGGGGATTCCAGAGTCTGGCTCTGAGCCTGAGCAAAGAGGAGGATGTTCTTGCTGAAGGAAACTGCTCCTTGCTCTGTTGATTTGTGCATTATACTGTAGTTGCTTTCTTTGTTGTTGTGCCTGAAACTAAAACTCTTGATGATGAAATGAAAGGACCAAAATAAATTAAAACTCAGGAGATTTGTTTGCAAGTTTCAACAGCTCAAGTAGGAAATAAAACTAAGTTTCAAAAGGCTGTATACATTTTGAACTAAACCGAATCCGGTTCGGTCTGTAAAACCAGTACCAATGTGGCGGTTCGGTGAAGGACGTGGCGCTTCCTTTCGCACTTGTTTCGCTCCGTTGGAACTCAATTGAAGAAATCTCTCCATCTTCATCATCATCAATCTCTGCGATTTCTCGTCTCTCTCTCTGACTCTCTCTCTCTCTCTCTTTCTTCGGGTGTGTGTGTGTGTTAACAAATGGCGACGACTAGTTTAGTCACCGGACTAAAAGTGTTTTTACCGGTGATGTTCTGCGTCATGTTCGCGACTCTTATCTACACTATCATCACCGATGGCCTTCCTTTACCTGACCGTCGAGATGTCTTCACACCGTAAAAATTCGATTCTCTCTCTCTCTCTCTCTCTCTCTCTCGACCCATATATATGCATGTGCTTTAGTATTTACTCATGTTCGTTCGTTATGCTTTTCAGATGGTTCGCGACGACGATTGTCGATTTCTACATCAATATTGTTCCTATCGCGGTATGTTTCGAATTTTCCGATCATCTCCGATATGTTCTTCCAGATTTTGATCAACGGCTTGTGTTCAATCTCAGGTATGGATTGTGTACAAGGAGTCGACATGGCTTGGCTCTATACTCTGGGCCATTTTGCTCTTAATATTTGGCAGGTATATTTCGTAAATGATCAATTACATCCATGAACGAACATAAATTCCCAAAAAATTAGTTTTTGTTCTTGTAATAATTCGTCTGCGTTTTTAATTGGTTGCTTTAGCCTCACGACCTGCGTGTATCTGTTTCTGCAACTTCTGAAGCTGACAACTCAAGAGGCTTCAGAAGATCCCATGTACTATTTGTTACTGCGAGATTCGATCAAGTACGTGGTACACCATAATGATGTCTTTTTCTCCATGGGGAAATCAAATACGCTGATGGCTTCTTTCTGTTTTGATTGATGTAAAATGTTGTTCTTGTTAGAGATGGAGTGGGTCTGAGAGACAACAAGTCCCTTGTCGTCACTGCGAGATTTGTGTTTGGTGCCTTGGGATGTGTGATGCTAGGAGCTCTGGTTTACACTTGCTTGACTGATGGTTCTCCTTTCCGCATGGAGCTTCTTTACCCGTGAGTTTAGTTTCTTCCCTTCGTTCTTTGTTATGTTCGCATTTGTTTGTATTCGAATCATCTGACACAGTCTCGTGAATCTCTAAGGTGGATGGTGGTTTTACTGGTTAACTTCTACATTAATGTTGCGGTTTTATCAGTGAGTCCCCTAAACTTAGCATCTCTTGGTTCTTCTGGTTTGCTACAAAACTCTGCATAAATATAAGTTATATATAAGCTAGGATTCGTATTTCTGGTCATGAGATCATAGTAACACTCTGGATTGGATTAAACAGGTTTTTTTTTTTTTAAACATATTTTGTTCTTCTATTAGTCATTTACTCTTTAACTATATTTCAGGTTTGGGTTGTCTATAAAGAACCTAGCTGGATCATTGGGATTCTCTGGGTTGCTCTGTTAGTATCTCTTGGCAGGTAAACTTTTATCTCAAAGTTTTAAACTCTTGAAAGGATCCTTTGATCACCCATTTAAGGAGTTTTTTTTTTTTTAAGGAGTTTTTTTTTTTTGTTTCATTTCATGTTTTTATGTAATCTTTATCAGCTTTGGCACGAGCGTAATCATTGTCGTGCAGCTATTCCGTCTCTCTCCTCTTGATCCGCTATACCTCGTTCTGGTGAACAACAGCAATCGGTAAGCTCGGAACATGCTTTTCTTCTCTAAGGTCTCTCAGAGAACATAACCTAAGAAGATGGATTATAGATACCTCAAAGCAGTTTTCTCAAACATAGTCTTATATAACTCTTGTTACATTTTCTAATCTTTTTGGGTGGAGGAAGCAAAAAACAAAAGAATTAAAGGGCTAAGTTAGTGAACTCTCTCATATGGGTCAATGGCAGGGTTGGAGATATCATGTATGAGCGCGCTCATTCTGCGGGTTTGCGTATGTGAAAGCTTTGCGATTTCATTTTTACCACAAACCATCTCTTTCTCCTTTTTTTTTTTTTAATTTTTTTTACAATTTAGTTTGTATGTTACTTATCTTCCCGAAATGTTTTGGATAATTCTTGTGTATATAATAGCATATTTCATTACTATACTAAGCATGCGACAACTCTATGCAACATAATATCAAACATCGAGTTTGCTCTTTAGCAATTTTATGACTTTTCAACATAATAATTGTCCAACTCAAATGTTTCCATGGAACTTTATTATCGTACTGTTAAAAGATGATTACTAAGACTCATACAATTGAAGAGACATGAGGAGATTCCTCGCAATATACCTGAAACATGGGATGTTCGTCATAATTTTTTTATTTATAAGCAAAGAGTTGAACCATTCTTCGTGTGGGAAAAATTGGTCAAAACATAAGCGACAAAAGAGTAAAACTAAGTAGCAAATCTCGTTCTCCAAAGATGAAGGATGCATGGGCCCATCTGACACGTCAGTATTGATGAAACGGCAATTTCTTTGAACCCGAATAATCGATTCGCAAATGCACAAAGAGACAACTGCTGCAATAACGGAAGCAAAACATATAGTGAATTGACATATTATTCTCAATTAGCTATGATAAAGGATTTGCCTATATATAAGTGTTGAATTCACAAAAAGTGTTCTTATTACACATTGTTTGATACATCATCACAACAGAAAATGTTCGTATCATCACACATTGTTTGGACTCGAGTGTTTCGCAAGAAAGCTCATCTCCTTTCAATGCTCGCACACGGCATTTCAATCTCATATGAGAACTTCATTAAGGTTTCGATTGTTTGTTTGCGCTTTGCTTTTACATTTGGTGTATACATTTATGCATCTTTTTTTAAAAAAAAACACGTTATATAAATTGACATGTTAACATTATTTGTATACTGAAGTGGTTGTGCACAGGATACTCGGAAAGGGACTTTACCCACTTGTGGACAGGCTTGAACAACTTGATGTCGCTAAAATCACAGGGATGTTGTTGGAGATGGATAAGGCCAAGATCCTGCACCTGATCGATTCATCAAAAGTACTCAAGTCTAAAGTTTATGATCTTGGTTTCTCTACCTCCGATTAAAATCTCTAAAAAATCGATTTTTTTTATTTGCTTGAGTCTTTCACTTAATGTGGGTGGTCCCTTTTTTATAGACTTATTTTGTTCCGGACGATGGTGATTTTCTTTAGTATTTCTTTTGTTCCGGAAAATGATTATTTCTTTAGTAACAATCTATGATTAGCCTATTAGTCTTTTCAGATATTTGACTGATATATATGTATGGTCTTCATATCAACTCAATTTAAGTCAGAAACAACAAGCCTTCGATTATAGTTTCAGTAGAGATCAATAATATACTGATGCGAATCCAAATGCGGGTGTGTAGGGTGATGAATTTATTTGAATGTGTCCTACTCGGATTTTGTGGTTTCTATTCAACATTCTTGGTTTTATAATTGGAACCAGCAATTCAGTGATTGTATAACATTCATTTCATAATAAATATTTGATTTGACGTTTAATTAGAATGGTTTATGTAGATCGAATATTCTCTGAACCACAACGAGAATCTAATTCGATTAGTTTAATCGGAAAACTCAGGTTAGCATATAGTAATATAGCTGAGACTTCGCATTAGATTTTTGTTTTTATATATTTTAAAAAAATGTGAGATGGTAATCATGAAAATGAAAAATCTCTGTTCATGTGAAATATATTATAAAAAGTCAACATCAGTGTTCTACTTTCAAATTGACCATACTTTTTAGTACATAAACAAGATTAAAAAGAAATGATTGAATAAAGAAGAGAGTGAGTGGGGTTGATACGTGTCACCGTCCAAAATGTGTCTGACCCTTCTCATTGGAGCTACACCAGCCGACCCTTTGCCTAAATCATTTGTTGACTTCACTCACTTTTTTACATATTTTAATCACAAACAATTCATTGTTTGGTTTCTAGATTGTTCCATCCCCTTTCTTTTTATATTTGACGTTTAATTTAAAACGTAAGATTATATCAACGTAGTAAATGAAAAATGTAGTGTTTGTTTGTTTGTAACATTTCTTAATCGAATTTAGATCATTTTTAGGGACATCATTTTTAGAAATATTCAATATTAAAATTATTTATTTTATATATATATAAATTTAAATTAAAATTTATTGTGAATTATTTGTAATTTACAATATTAAAAAAATTGAATTGACTGACTTTATTATCAACTAAGACAGTTATGGTTGGAAAATTATATTATATGCATTTAATAAATAATTTTACAGCAAAAATGTCAACAAAATTATTTTTAATGATATATATATATTTTTTATAAACTATTTATAAATTTATTATGCTTGTTTGAAATTGGATTTTTTTTCTTTTTTTTTTATAAATTTTTAACTAAATCTTTTTATGTTAAATGAAATATAAAAAAAAAAAATTAAATTTAAATAGAGCATCAAAAATCGTCGGATCGGCACTGCTCTCATACGTAGAGAAACTATTTTATGTAAAACACTAAACACTTGTACACTACCTAGCTCTAAATTATTACCCGCTGATACTATAACAAGTAAACAGTGTATCTGTTAATCAGTGATGTTATTGTTACCTACACTAATTTAGCCATCATTAAACTTTTCAGTTTGAAGGAATTTCGATTTTGTTTAGATACTAAAGATTTTTTTGATTTTAGGTCATGTTTCTGAAAGAATTCTAAATTTAAGTTTGAGCTTGTTTTGCTGAAGTTGCGTTTACAAAATATGCTTTGGTCTTTAACAAAAACAAAAAAGCTAAGAAAATAGGAGGTGGCTCCGTTGCAAAGACGATGTTCGATTAACCCAATTTTTTTTTTTTAATTACAATCTCGATTCTCTTAAATTAAAATCATTTAATGTCACGATTCTAAACTTCTAAATGTGAAAAAATTATATTGTATAATAGAATAATACTTGAAGACAAATAATATCATTTAAAAGGTATTTTTGACAATGAAAGGGGGTAATGAATATCTCGCTCACTAAACCACAATAGAATCGATTCATTGGGCTACAACTTTAATCATATTATATATACATTACGAAATGTCTACCAATTTGAGAATACGACTTTTGAAAAAAGTTTCTAATAATTTTAGTATAAAACTCCACCATAGTATCACTTTAATAAACGATTGTTATAAAAATGAAATATTAACAAAAAGTATCTTTATGAAAATTAAACACTCTTTCTATTAACACAAAAAGGTAAACCATAAACCATGATTGAAGCTAACTCCAGACTTTATAAAACAAATGCAGTAACAAAAATTCAGTCGCGCTAATCAACAAAAATGAATGTTTGTGCATAGTTCTGGTTAATCATACACATGAGACATGTTCTTTGGAGTCGTTAAATGTCTATCTATCACTAGGAAGTAGGAAATAGATAAACGTGCAAAAAAAAAGGTCAATATCACTTCAGGCACTAGCGTGGTACGTCTTTCAAAATAGCGAGCGCTTAGTAATTCGTTTACTATGTGATTAATAAATAACTACACAGTACACTACTACACTTACACATAACGTTCAAAGGGTTTGTCCCAAATTATCGATGTAATAATATTTTAGAGTAATCATAAATTTGAATTATATACAACGTACGAAAATATACATTATACTTTTTTTTTGTGTTCAACGTTTCATTATACTTTAATAGACGTTAAGTTCTTTTTTTTAGGGGGAGAATTTTAGACATAAAATTATACTAGTAATTACTTTCAATGTAATTACAGTGCCGCTCAATATTAAAAGAACTACTTTAATTGTTTTCTATCAAAAATTGTAATTTATTGTCAGCCCAGTTACATATCTCCACGTATGGTTTGAGCCCATCTCAATGATTGGGAGGAGCATGACCATGAAAGCCCACAGTGATGTTTTCATCTTCAGACAGCCATCCGCAGAGTGTGGACCCCACACCACGAATCTTGTGGACTACGGAGATTTATTACAACATATTGCTCGCATCTTATTGCGCCACGTCTGTGTTTGGCGGAAGATCAACGTCCATATATCTCTTGCTCCACTCTGATTGGTACACGTCATCTTATTATGTTCTACTTGTTTATGGGGTAGACAAGTGGGAAGAAGAAAAATATCTAAAAGGAGCGTGGGACCCATTTAGATATTTTCTGCGGGCTGCCTCCACAAAAGCTGCCCGTTAATCCACAGCCTTCAGAGACGGCTCGAAACTCTTCCGGTCAAGCTGCCCGAGAACTTGGCAAGGAATTTGTGGGTGGGACCCACTCACCACTGAAATCGACGGCTGAAAATTCGAAGGTGCACGTTACACCTCGTAGCATCTGAACCTGACTCCTCCCAAAATATCTGCGGACACATGTCACTAGTTTTGTAAAACTAATTAACTAATCAGGCAATCACATGAGAGAGAGCTAGAGGTTAAATTAAAAGAAAATAATACAATCATGCATATAACCAACAAAACCTTCTAAATTAGTCTGTGATTGATCAAGTTATTCAGTTTATGTACCAATATTACCCATACTGTGATGAATGTAACAAATTGGTAAAAATTGAACTAGTGAATCATTGAGGCTAAAGAAGCATTTGAAACCCATGCATGTATGTATGTATGTATGTGATAGGATGATGATGGTATGGCGACGGAAGATGTAAAATGTAAAAATTAAAATAAAGGTCGTGGCAAAACCAGGAAAGTATCGATGCCACGTCAGGCGGAAATCTTAAACCGAGTGGAGAAGCCTGCCAAAATCTATTTCTCTCTCCCCCTCCAAAGCCACGAGAATCGCTTGTGTATTTGACGAGTTGTATCCTCCAGAATCATTTTTGATTTTTTGTTTTTGCTTCTCATCATCTTTCCCACTGATATTCTCTCCATCGAGCTCACACAAATATCCAGAAAAGCTCTAAAAAAGCATAGCAGAGAAGAATCAATCAGCAATCGCATACAGGTCGTGTTTTGGATTCCTCCTAATTTTTTTTTTCCATGGTTTGGTTGATTTCTCAGATGAGATTTGATCTCGAGATTCTCCTTCATTTTGGTAGCCTCTACTCAAATTCTTCTGGTGTTGCGTCTTTTTCTTTGCTTTACTGGTTTCGTACTTGCATTTCTCTCAGCGTAGATTTGTTCTTCTCTCTCTGATTTGGATTTTAAAAGTTGTCTCGTCTGATTGAGAGATTCGTCTCTTCTTAATTTTCTATCTACAGGAAGGAGAGCGAATATCCGTTTACGAGCCTATATTAGGATCATATACCGTTTCTTCAGCTTCGATTGTACTGTACAGTGTGTTGGTAGATCAAGCGAATAATCTGGGGGATGTGCTGTTCTTCCCGGCGCATGTTAGACAACGACCTATTGATTCTCGATTGCTAGAAAAGGGTTTGAGATCAAAGGTTTAGATTAAACAGAGCGGAGATTTTTTCTTCCGTCGGTGTTTAGATTTAGTTTGGGTCACTGGTTTTAATTCTGGATGGCTGCTTCATCTGAGAGGTGGATCGACGGTCTTCAGTTCTCGTCCTTGTTATGGCCTCCTCCACGAGACCCTCAGCAACATAAGGTACTTTAAAGATTGATCCATGAACCTGCTTGAACTTGATATGGTTTTGGATTAGAATCTCTGTTTACTTATTGTCTTCTCCGGGTTTCCCTAGGATCAAGTCGTTGCTTATGTCGAATACTTTGGCCAATTCACATCAGAGCAATTCCCCGATGACATTGCCGAGGTACTTGTTGTGTTATGCCTTGCGAGTTTTTTTTTTCTTCATAAGAGAGTGTGAGAGACGTTTTTGTTCACTGGTTTATGAATATTCTCTTTATCAGTTGGTCCGTCATCAGTATCCATCAGCTGAGAAGCGACTTTTGGATGATGTGCTGGGTATGAGCTTCTCTATCAACGCTTGTGAATGCTATATTTTGATTTTATATACATTAGGAATGCCCATCTGATTATGTTGTTGTTTGCTGATGAACAGCAACGTTTGTGCTTCATCACCCGGAGCATGGTCATGCAGTAATTCTTCCAATCATTTCATGTCTCATTGATGGCTCTCTGGTGTACAGCAAGGAAGCGCATCCGTTTGCTTCTTTCATATCTTTGGTTTGCCCAAGTAGTGAGGTGAATACTGAATAGTTTCCCAACAGTTTTGAGCTAAGACTTAAGTTTTTATACCATTTTAATGCTGACGTGTTCACACTCCTAAGCAGAATGACTACTCGGAGCAATGGGCTTTGGCGTGCGGAGAGATCCTTCGCATTTTGACTCATTACAATCGTCCCATATACAAGACTGAGCAGCAAAATGGAGAAACAGAGAGAAATTGTCTGAGCAAAGCTACAACTAGTGGTTCTACGCTTTCAGAGCCTAAGGCTGTATCACCAGTGCAGCATGAAAGGAAGCCGTTAAGGCCTTTGTCTCCATGGATCAGTGATATATTACTTGCTGCTCCATTGGGTATAAGAAGTGACTACTTCCGTTGGTAAGTAGATCGGTGTTACTGATGCTTATATATGTCTTCATGCGCTGGCCTCGTTCTTTTTCTCTCTGGTCTTCTGCTGAGGACTATGGATTGAGGTTCTGCAGTGTGCGTAAGCTTACTTACAACTAAAAATGGTTTTTTTTTTATATATACAGGTGTAGTGGTGTAATGGGTAAATATGCTGCTGGAGAGCTCAAGCCGCCAACTATCGGTGCGTTTAATAATTACATGTTCATATTCTGATCAATGGAGCTTTCTAATCATTTCGTCCATAAATGTATTTCCATCACATGTGGCAATTAGAATGGGTTCTGAGTTGCTTCTTGTATAACTCTCACGTTGAGCACTGTCTTACGTTGGCAGCTTCCCGAGGATCTGGTAAACACCCTCAACTGATGCCTTCCACGCCAAGATGGGCGGTTGCTAATGGAGCTGGTGTCATACTGAGTGTTTGTGATGATGAAGTTGCTCGATATGAGACTGCTACGCTAACAGCGGTTGCTGTCCCTGCTCTTCTTCTTCCCCCACCAACGACATCCTTAGATGAGCATTTAGTTGCTGGTCTTCCAGCTCTTGAGCCATATGCACGTTTGTTTCATAGGTAGCGTTATTATTACAATATTACTAGTAGTCTGTTGCTAGCTCTAAGGTTGTGCTTCCTTCAGAATTGCTTCAAACTTTCCTGTTTTACTGTCAGATATTATGCCATTGCAACTCCAAGTGCTACTCAGAGACTTCTTCTTGGACTCTTAGAAGCACCGCCGTCGTGGGCGCCAGATGCACTTGATGCTGCTGTACAGCTCGTGGAATTACTTCGAGCTGCTGAAGATTATGCATCTGGTGTAAGGGTAAGCGTAATATGAATACTTTAATCTCTCTAGAAAGCTGATCGTGTCCCTTGTTCCACACTATGGGATTTTGAAACTTCATCAGCGGATAGCATTGACGCCTAGAAAACAAATCATCTTTGATATGTCATCAAAAGGATCATCGTTGATCACACTCTCTTTCTTGATGTAGCTACCCAGGAACTGGATGCATTTGCACTTCTTGCGCGCAATAGGAATTGCAATGTCTATGAGGGCAGGTGTTGCTGCTGATGCTGCAGCCGCTTTGCTTTTCCGCATACTCTCACAGCCGGCGCTGCTTTTTCCTCCGCTAAGCCAAGTTGAGGGAGTAGAAATTCAGCACGCGCCTATTGGTGGCTACAGTTCAAATTACAGAAAGCAGGCATGGTTTTTATTCTTTTATTTTCTTTTTGATGTTCTTCTACCGAATATCTCCGATATGAAAATTAGATTGAGACTGACTAATAACACAACCCTGTATTCCTCACCAGATAGAAGTTCCTGCAGCAGAAGCAACCATTGAAGCCACTGCTCAAGGAATTGCCTCAATGCTTTGTGCTCATGGTCCTGAAGTCGAGTGGAGAATTTGCACTATATGGGAAGCTGCCTATGGATTGATCCCTTTAAATTCCTCAGCGGTTGATCTTCCCGAAATCATTGTCGCTACCCCACTGCAACCTCCTATATTGTCATGGAATCTATACATTCCACTCCTCAAAGTACTTGAATATCTTCCACGGGGGAGTCCTTCGGAAGCATGCTTGATGAAAATATTTGTTGCCACCGTGGAAACAATCCTCAGTAGAACTTTTCCGCCAGAATTTTCCAGGGAACATATCAGAAAAGCTAGATCGAGTTTTACCACTAGGTCAGCGACCAAAAACCTTGCTATGGCTGAGCTTCGTGCTATGGTCCATGCTCTGTTTTTAGAATCATGCGCTGGTGTGGAAATAGCTTCACGCCTTATATTTGTTGTGTTGACTGTATGTGTTAGCCATGAAGCACAGTCTAGTGGGAGCAAGAGACCGAGAAGTGAATATGCTAGTACTGCCGACGAGAATCAATCTGTATCTGACAATCAAACAACTAACCGTAAAAGCAGGAATGTCAAGGGACAGGGACCTGTGGCAGCATTTGATTCATACGTTCTTGCTGCTGTTTGTGCTCTTGCCTGCGAGGTTCAGCTGTATCCTATGATCTCTGGAGGGGGAAACTTTTCCAATTCTGCAGAGCCTGCAACTATTACAAAGCCTGTAAAGATAAATGGGTCATCTAACGAGTATGGAGCTGGGGTTGACTCGGCAATTAATCATACACGCCGAATCTTGGCAATTCTAGAGGCACTCTTTTCACTGAAACCATCTTCTGTGGGGACTCCATGGAGTTACAGTTCTAGCGAGATAGTTGCTGCGGCCATGGTTGCAGCTCATATCTCGGAACTGTTCAGACGTTCAAAGGCTTTGACGCATGCGTTGTCTGGGTTGATGAGATGTAAGTGGGACAAAGAAATTCATAAAAGAGCGTCGTCATTGTATAACCTCATCGATGTTCACAGCAAAGTTGTTGCATCCATTGTCGACAAAGCTGAACCCTTAGAAGCCTACCTCAAGAAGGATTCTCTGACCTGTTTAAACTGGAAACAACAGAACACATGTGCAAGCACCACAGGATTTGGTACAGCCATGACATCCTCGTCACGTAGTGAAATGAGTCCAAGAGGCAGCCATAAGTATGCTAGACATTCAGATGAAGGCTCAGGGACTAGACCCTCAGAGAAGGGTATCAAAGATTTCCTCTTGGATGCTTCTGATCTTGCGAATTTCCTCACAGCTGATAGGCTCGCGGGATTTTATTGTGGTACACAAGTTCTTCTGAGGTCAGTACTTGCAGAGAAACCGGAGCTTTCTTTCTCCGTTGTTTCACTGTTATGGCACAAACTGATTGCTGCTCCTGAAATCCAGCACACTGCGGAAAGCACCTCTGCTCAACAAGGGTGGAGACAGGTAAATCTTATCATCTTTATTTCCCATCTCGCTTACAGTTCCTTTGATGTTATTTTTTTGGTTCTTCACGAATCCAAGTTTTGAAGGGGCTAGACTTCATTCACTGATCATAATTTTCATATATCAGGTAGTTGATGCACTATGCAATGTCGTATCGGCAACGCCAGCAAAAGCAGCTGCAGCAGTTGTTCTTCAGGTCCATATTTCTCTTTTGACTTTTTTTTTTTTTAATTTAATTAGTCAGGAACAACACGCCTGTGTAAAGATTAAGCATAGTCAACTGCAGAAAACCTGCGGCTTATTTCATGTATAGAAAATTAAGCTCGGAACATTTGTGGAGTAGTTGTTTTAGTTAATATGTCACGGATAGAAATAAATATGTGTGTAAAATGAACTATGGGTTGGGGCTTGTTTATGTATATGGAAGGAGTTAGTTTTGTGCGCTGGATCCTAAAATGATGTGGTGTTATTTACAGGCAGAGAGAGAGTTGCAGCCTTGGATCGCCAAAGATGATGAAGAAGGTCAGAAAATGTGGAAAATCAACCAACGTATAGTCAAAGTGATGGTGGAGCTCATGCGCAATCATGAGAGGCCAGAGTCACTAGTGATTCTGGCAAGCGCATCGGATCTTCTTCTGCGGGCGACTGATGGGATGCTTGTTGATGGAGAAGCTTGTACATTACCTCAACTTGAGGTACTACACCTTTACCATAGTACTGTATAGTTCTCTACAATGCCTGACCGAAAATTGATTATTTTATTTTTTTGTTGCCAACTCACTATTGCAGCTACTTGAAGCCACGGCGAGAGCGATACAGCCGGTGCTAGCTTGGGGGCCATCTGGAGTAGCAGTAGTTGACGGTTTATCCAATCTATTGAAGGTAAGCACGAATCGAACATAGACTGTGTTGATTGCAGATGATGATGAGTACACTAGTTCCAAACCAGTTCTCGCTCTTGGAAACTCTTAAAGCTCCCAACATAATATATATATATATATATATATATTGCAATAGGTCGCCGTTTTCTGAAATGTTCCTCGTTCTTGCGTGTGTCTATGCAGTGTCGTCTACCGGCAACGATACGGTGCCTTTCACACCCAAGCGCACACGTGCGTGCGTTGAGCACGTCAGTGCTACGGGACATCATGAACCAAAGCTCCATAACCGTAAAGGTAGCTCCGAAACCGGCGGCAGCAACAGAGAAGAACGGAATGCACAGCCCGTCGTATCGGTTCTTCAACGCGGCGACAATAGACTGGAAAGCAGATATCCAAAAATGCCTCAACTGGGAAGCTCACAGCTTGCTCTCCACGACTATGCCTACTCAGTTTCTTGACACCGCGGCTCGAGAACTGGGCTGCACCATATCCTTGTCGTCCCAATAACGAGTAACCACCGCACCTTTTGTCTTTATTTTACTTTTTCTCCAGACACAAAGTAAAAGATACTTGGATGTAGTAGACCATGAAGAATACATATTTTTATATTAGCTTTTTGTACGTAATGTGTACTGATTGAGCAGTCACTCCGAACTGGCGTTGGATCTGCTGTCGCTCGGGTCCTATATATATATAACTCAACCTCTCTTCTTTGTATACCTTTTAAATGACGAAGCAGAGTTATTTATTTATTTTTCCAAACTCATTTTATTGTGCCATACGAATCACCTCCAAGTCGTCTATGTTACAGTGGGACGGGTTCATGCAGTTGCGAAAAAGCGACGGCTTGGAAAATGGAATCAAACCTATGAAGTTTGTGGATAGATGGAAAAAAAAACTGGCACATATATAATTAATATGATGGACCTACAGTATATGCTTTTTTTCCATACTTTTGCCTAAGTTTCTCTTGCTCTTTTTAGCCAACTTATCATTTTCTAGCTTGGATATACCAAAATAATTGTATCATTATTATATCAGATTTTAAATAAACACTATTATAATTAGTTATTCGACAGATTATATAAGTTTTGCCGCCTGTAACAACAGATTTGACCATACGCGGTGGTGGCGGGGCGTAAACATAACATCACATCCTTGTCAAAAAATGGTGAGCAACGTTCTTCTTGAGTTAGGATCATTGTTCAGCTCTCTTCTCATGGTCTCTCTTCGAGCTGTTGTCTGTTTTTTCAATTGCATTTGTTTTTGGTTATTGGGTTTGTTTGGATCTGATTTTATCACGTGCATTCAATGTCGTTTAGTAAATAAGGCTATGTTATTGAAGCATGGGCATCTCCATTAAGTGAAGAGGAAAACAAAAAATACTTGGCAGAAACCTAAAGGAAACGAAAATTGTGTCTCCTCCTCTCGTTACATTGTATTTGCTCCATATTATCTGGACTAATTTGTAAGTATATTCCACCTTTTATAGTTAGCCTTTACAACCTCCTTACCAAACTCACTATGACAAATGCTACTTTCTCATTAATGTTCCATACTAATTTGTAAGTATATTCAAAAACATAAATGTCCATAATTCGATGCAGTACCTCGAGTTATGTAAAAAAGGGCTGCGTTCATGGATTGTTAAAAAACGATGGGGTTTGCTTTGAGAAAGATAGAATCAAACTTATGAAGTAGATGGATATTACCTAAGACACATGCGTAGATGGGATAAAAATTGACAGCATTCACATGACCGAAGAGAACCAACGTGTTTTTTCCCCTTGTAAAACTAATTAATGTTTATAAAACTTGAGTTATTTTTGGGGGGTATTTTTCAGCCAAGTTATTGTAGAGAATGTACATATGTATATATATATATATATATATATCTGTACAATAGAGAGTTCTAGATTAAACTAATTAAGCTGAATACAGAAACTACCATAGTTAAAGATATACACTATTAATGGAGATATTAGCTTTTCTACTTGTATCTTTTACACGTCCCTTCAAGTTGGAGGGGCGTGAATGATTCTAATTAATTTTGCTTCTGAGTTCTAAAAATCTTGTCCGTGAGAGTGGTTTCGTGAGTACATCGGCAAGCTAATCCCTCGTTGTAACATGTGCAACTCTGAACATGCCTTGTTGAATGTGGTCTCAGACAAAGTGATAATCTAAGGCAATATGTTTCATGTGTGTATGGAACACGAGGTTTACACAGAGGAATGTTGCCCTGATATTGTCGCAGTAGACCGTAGGTGTCACCTGTAGCTGAATGTCAAGATCACTTTAACACATTGCAAATCCCCCATATCTCAGATGCCGTGTTAGCAACTGCACGGTACTCTGCTTTAGTAGATAATCGTGCAACGCCATTCTGTTTCTTTGCGGATCAAGATATTGGATGACTGCCGATATAGACAATGTAAGCATTAATAGAGACATAATCATCTGAATCACCTGTCTAGTCTGCATTTGAATAGGCATGAAGTTGTAGTTTGTTCTTGGCGGAGAAGAAAATGCCATGCGTTGGTGTACCAGCTAGATATCGTAAGATCCTTTTTCCTGCTTGCCAGTAATCATGAGTTGGTCTATGCATAAACTGCGAGAGTTTGTTTACAGCGTAGGAAAGTTAGCGCTAGATATTGAAGACTTTCGATGAGCTTTCTATATTCTGTCGGGTCTGAAAAAGAAGTGCCGGTGGTTAGCGTGAGCTTCAGAGAGGTGGCCATCGGTGTACTCACAGGTTTAGCTTCCATCATGTGATGTCAGTGGAGAAGATCAAGGATATACTTTCGCTGAGAGAGGTGAAATCCTTGAGCTGTTCGATGTGCCTCAATGCCCAAAAATGAATTGAGATCCTCAGGATCTTTCATCGAGAACCTATCAGCAAACAACGAGAGGATCTTTTCTATTCCAACGGAGTTACTGCCTGTGAGCAGTATGTCATCAACATACACAAGAAGGTAAAGATATGCATTACCCAATCATAGTGTAAAGAGCGATGTATCTGCAGCTGAGTTTTTGAAACCGACATAGAGCAAAAAAGTCTTGAGTTCTGTTTACCAAGCTCTTATGACCTGTTTTAGCCCATATATTGCTTTGTGAAGGCGACATACGTGATTGGGATTGTCGGCGTCAACAAATCCCGGTGGTTGCTCTATATAGACTTCTTCCGATAGTGTGCCTTGCAGAAACGAGTTATTGACGTCAAGTTGTTTTACTTGCCTAGACTTTGTGACAGCAACATCAAGAACAAGGTGTATCGTGATGGATTTAATGACAGGGCTGAAGGTATCTGTGTAATCGCGACCCAACTGCTGATTATATCCATTGGCGACGAGACGAGCTTTACATCGGTGATGTGCGCCGTTGGGCAAGAATTTGTTTTTGAAGATCTACTTGCAGCCTACGATGTTCTTGTTTGGGGGACGTGGAACTAGTTCGAGAGTGCGATTGATGTCGAAAGCATCGATTTCTCCAGTCATGGCATCATGCTATCTTCCATCTTTCATTGCCTGTTTCAAGTCATCGGTTCAGCGGGGATGTTTGTGAATAAGACTGCAGTTTTGGCGTATTTGAGATTCGTTTGGGGGAGGTGGTAGTATTTCGGGTTCTGGTTTATTGGAGGAGGAGGAGGAGAAATGTGTAGATTGTATCGGGGACGAGGGAGGAGTTGGTGTTTGGGTTTGGGACGTTATGGGTGAGGACAAATATGGGCTTGACTTTTTTTGGGCTTATATTTGGGATTTTGAGTTTGGTGTAATTGGGTCAGATGGAATTTGGGCCTGAGGTGTAGGACTAAGTGGGCTTTGGGGTTCATCTTCTTCTGATGTATGACCTGCAATAAAGAGAGGTGATGATGGCTGCTCAGGCGGGTGAAGACCAGAAATCTGGGGCCCTTGTTGTTCTGACGGAGTCGATTGCGATGGCAGTATGAGTGGCGGTGGAAGAGATAGGAGCGGGATATTTTTTGTGGGATTGGATTTGTGTTATTCGGCACGGAAGGGGAGTGAGGTTTCGGGAGAGTGAACGGGAAGGTTGTCTCATCAAATTTGACATGGCGGGAGACATAGATTCAGGCATGAATTGGTTGTAGGCATAAATATGCACTCTGGGTGAGAGAGTATCCGAAGAAGACACACGGCGTGGATCTTTTGTCGAGCTTATTAGAGTTGTAGGGGTGAAGCCACGGAAAGCAGATACAGCCAAACGTTCGGAGCTTTGAGTAGTTGGGTGTTTCGCCAAATAACTTGTGAAAGGACGAGTCAGGTTGAAGCATTAGCGTCGGCAACCGTTTGATCTGATACGTGGCTGTCGTGAAGGCGTATGTCCAATAAGACTTTGGCATTCCGACATGAGTGAGGAGAGACAATCCTGTTTCCATGATGTGGTGGTACTTCCGTTCGGCGATTCCGTTGTGCTTCGGCGTGTGGGGCGGAGAAGTTAGATGTGGGATGCCGGAGGCAGAGAGAAACGATCGGAGAGCGACAAACTCACCACCATTGTCGGAGTAGAGAGTCCCAATCTTGCAGTTGAATTTATTCTCGACCAGGGTTATTCTTGGGACTTTGTTTTGAGAGGGTATAGCCATGTATAGCGGCTGAAGTGGTCAACGAGGATCAAGTAGTATTTGAAGTTGTCACAAGAGATGATAAGAGAAGACCGTACATCTGTGAATATGTATTCTAAGGGGCGGGTGAATGTAATAGAAGATTGGTGAAACGGAATTTTATGGCTTTTATTGATAGAACAAGCAGCACAAAGAAAATTTGAAGAAGAATGCGAACAAGGAAGAGAAAATATAGAGATTATTTTGTTGAGTATTGGTGGTGAAGAATGGCCAAGTCGATAGTGCCAATCAGCAAGAGATGTCTTTGGTGATGACGAAGCAAAGAAGGAGGAAACGGGTGTGGTGGATAATGGCCACTCATACAGCTCGTCGTTAGTCTTCCCGTGGAGCAATGAGACCTCCGAGATCAAGTCTTTCCCCTGAAAATAAGCAGGGAAGAATTCCACCGAAACCTTATTAGTATTGCATAGGTATACATAGAAATTAGATTTTTGTGGATATGTGGGACATAAAGGATATTTTGGAGAGTTAAGTTTCAGGAGGAAGTAAGGAGAGACTGTGAACCAGTAGGAGTGATCGAAAAACCTGAGCCATCTCCTATGAGGATGCTGTCGTTGCCTGTGTAAGGCTGATAGTTGGAGATGTTGCTGAGGTTACTTGTGATGTGATGCGTTGCACCACTGTTGAGAAGCCAGGCTGCTGCAGAGACATGTGGTCCAGTTGTCATATTAGCTAAGGGCTGACACGCTCTGGTATGACTGCGCTTGAGTGTTGTTGTTGCCACGATCAGCATTGTAATTGCCATGTTGTGTGTTGAGCTGCAGACAATATTTTGCACTGTGACCGAATACACCACAAATTTGACACTTCCCTTGGTATCCTGGTGTCATGCATGTATCACTGTTGTGATGTTGGTGCTGGTTTTGAT